TAACACGGCTACATTTCTATCACTATCCTATCTCAAGTTCATGGATACTCCTAGTCTGTCACAATTTGTCATGTAAACCCTTATCTTTGTCACAGTTTGCCTTGTAGACTCCCCCACTCAAGTTCTCATGTGGCTTTGTGTACTGTAAAAACTTACTTCTAGCACTCCTGGGGTGAACAGAAGTCTCAGAGTACTTCTGCTGAGACTTTGATATGTTAAAGAAGAACAATCAACAACTGAACTGTCTAAGCATTCTGTATATAGGATACCTGAATCTGTCTGTCAGGGCTGCTGCTTCACTCTTGGAAGTGACAGCCTGCATGCATGCATCATAAAGTTTTCTCTTCTAGGTTTCTCTCCTGCCTCACTGATTTGACCTCCGGCCTCGGACCCTTCTGGGGGCTCTGTACCCCAGGGGAGTGAGATTTCCCCCTCAGATGGCAGGAGACAAATCGCTTGATCATTGTCTTCGGTCCACCCTCTCTGGGGCACCTGGTGCTGGCCACTGTCAGCAGACAGGATACTGGGCTAGAAGGACCTTTGGGCTGACCCAGTACGGCCATTCTTATGTCTCCTCTCCTAGATCCTCTTCTGCCTCACTGCCAGTCACCCTTTGCATGCTGGGCCCTGCATTTCTCAGTCCTAGCTGCATAACTCGCAGGTTTTGTTTGAATGGACCTAGTTGACTGTGATCCAGGCATCCCCTTAGTGCCAACTGGCAGATGGCATAGGTGATGCATAGAGGTTCACAGGGATTCCCTGGTGCTGATGAATAGAATAGAACAGAAAGCTAAAACTGGAAGGGACCTCGAGAGGTCATCAAGTCCTGTCCCCTGCCCTCATGGCAGGACCAAGCAGCATCCCTGACAGGTGTCTGTCTAACCTGCTCTTAAATATCTCCAATGATGGGAGATTCCACAACCTCCCTAGGCAATTTATTCCAGTGTTTAACTACCCTGACAGGAAGTTTTTCCTAATGTCCAGCCTAAACCTTCCTTCCTGCAATTTAAGCCCATTGCTCCTTGTTCTATCATCAGAGGTTAAGGAGAATAATTTTTCTCCTTCCTCCTTGTAACAGCCTTTTAGGTACTTGTAAGCTGCTATCATGTCCTCTCTTGGTCTTCCCTTTTCCAAACTAAAACCCAGTGCTTTCAGCCTTTCCTCATAGGTCATGTTTTCTAGACCTTTCATAATTTTTGTTGCTTTTCTCTGAACCTTCTCCAATTTCTCCACATCTTTCCTGAAATGTAGTGCCTAGAGTTGGACACAATACTCCAACTGAGGCCTAATCAGCACAGAATAGAGGGGAATAATGACTTCTCGTGTCTTGCTCACAATGCTTCTCTTAATGCATCCCAGAATGATGTTTGCTTTTTTTGCAACAGAGTCACACTGTTGACTCATATTTAACTTGTGGTTCACAATGACCTCTAGAACCCTTTCTGCCGTACTCCTTCCTAGACAGTCACTTCCCATTTTGTATATGTGAAACTGATTGTTCCTCCTTAAGTGGAGGACTTTGCATTTGTCCTTATTAAACTTCATCCTATTAATCTCAGACCATTTCTCCAGTTTGTCCAGATCATTTTGAATTATGACCCTTTCCCCCAAAGCAGTTGCAACCCCTCCCAGCTTTATAAGTGTACTCTCTATGCCAGGGGTGGGGAACCTTTTTAGGGTCAGAGGCAGCTGACCCACAGTCAGCGGGCCGCATACAAGTGAGAAGCAAAAACAATAAAACCAAGCAACCTGGCAATGACGTGGCCCCCAGGCGATCCCCACATTCCCCTCACATGGCAGAGCCTGGGAGGGTCCAGCCTAGTAGATTTCATGTGCTTCAACTCTGTGGTGGAGCAACGGGGAGGCTGGAGCAATAGCGTGAGCTCCCCAATGCAGAGAGGGAGGCTAAGCCTTGGGGGCCGGATCCAGGCAAGCCAGGGGCCACATCCGGGCCTGATGTTCCCCACCCTCACCCTATGCTATTATCTAAATCAGTGGTTCTTAACCTCTTTGGTGCGGTTACCCCTTAAGCTTAACCAATAAACCAAATGTACCCCTCCTCCTTTTTTAAATGGCAATAGACAAAAATAAAATTATAATTAATCATGTTTATTGTATGTTGTTTTCTCGTACATTATGTTGAACAAAGTTGACTGCCTATTGTATTTTAAACTTATTACCCCAGGCCTGGCCAAAATATGCCCCACAGGCTGATATGGCCGCCAAGCCACCAGATCCAGCCCGCGGAAGCAGTGGGGAGCCCCAGGCAGGCTCCCTTGCTTGCCCTGCAGCCTAACATGCTGCTCAGAAATGCAGCTGCCGGCACAATCCCATTGGCCAGTTTGGGGCCAGAAAACACAATGTAGGTGGGGCGACTCTAAAGTGGGCGCATAACTTGTGAGAGAACCATTCTTAGAGAGTAGGTATTAACGGTTCACCGTCATGCTGGTAGGGCATAAGTTGGGTTCCATAGGGATCACTTTTGGGACCAGTTTTTTCAATAGCTTCATCAACTATTTAGATCAGTGGTTCTTAACCCGGGTGTAATTACCCCTCAAGGAGTAATTTGGCATATTTCTGGAGGTAATACAGGACTGGGCAATAATTTTTTACAGTGGGCCACTCCAAGATTTTGGAAAGAGGTCGAGGGCTGCACTCTTCAATTATATGAATGGAGGAAGTGCGGGGTCTGGGATGCAGGTTGGGTGCAGAAGGGAGCTTGGGGTAAGGGATTGGGGTGTAGAAGGGAGAATGGAGTCTGGGAGGGAGTTTGGGTGAAGGAGGTGTTTGCGACCTGGGCAGGGGACTGGAGTGCAGGGATTTGGGATGTGACCTAGGTTAGGAGGGGATTGTGATCTGGGGCAGAAGATTGGGGTGTCAGATCAGGGAGGGTGTATGGGTGCAAGAGGGGACAGAAGGTTTGGGTATGTTGATTGGGGGGGCAGAGGGGCCGGGGTGCCAGAGGCAGGCTCTGGAGAGGAGACTTACCAGCCAACAGCCAAACCAGCTTACCTGCCTGCAGAGCTAAAGGTCTGCAGAGCTTAAAACATTTCCCAGTCAGCCAGCCAACCTAGCCATGCACTTGTGTGAATAACTGAGCCGAGGGGAGGGGGTATAAATCAATACTTTTATTGATAGGTCATGCGAGACTATATGCATAATAATTAACCAGACGAAGGGCATATGAGGTCTCCATGGGGCCAGTAGGCCACTAATCAGCTTAATCTTTGCTACATTATAACACTCTAGAAGTTACATTCCTGTATGAACATTATGGTCTTCAATTGTTAGGACGGGTCAACTGAAGATGGAGATGCTTCTCTCTCCCTAGCTGCCCAATGCTTATTGTGGGTCTTACACCGTAAATCTATTTGTATCCAGAGCCAGCAGCTAATCAAGATTGCAAAGTCTTCCTGTAGATGTTGGGATCTTGCTGACCCACACAAGAGGATGGGGTGTCCTGCTTATAACTAAGACCAAAGCATGAGTCTGGTACACTAGAAGCATGCAGAAAAATCGACAGTAGCCTTCACCTAGGGGACAAGCTGTCTGATGAACGTAGGATCATAGTCAGCCTGTTTATAAATGGAAGAAAGCCCTTAGGTGACCTAACATTTCAAAGACTGGGAATGGTCTATTATTTAAATCTAGACTCTAGAAGGCATATCATGATTTTGGTTTAGCTGTAACCTGTCTCCAATATTTGTATCTACTTGCTATTTCATGACTCGCTGTTTTTCTAGTTGCTATAAACAAAGCAAAGTGCAGTGCGTTAAACAGTGCGGTGATCCTGGGCTGAGCTGAGATGTGTCGTTCCTCTGGGAGTGGCAAGTCTGTGAATAGTCAATGCAACTGGGACTGGATACTCCAAGGAGACATGCAGAAGACTTGGGGGCTGGTGTGCAGCTATTGCCTACCTGCGGAGGGACTGTGGAGGCTGAGAGGAGAGTCCACCAACCTCTGGCAACACATGCAAGCAAATGACTCCCATGCTACGGGCAGGAAGTTGCAAGGGGCCTTTAGCGGAGGGTACCTCAGGGAAGCCTCCCATGCACAGGCGATCTACGTGGCTCTGTGAAATAGCTGCGTCCTTGTTGTTAGTCACCTCTCCAAGCCTCCCATGCACAGGCGATCTACGTGGCTCTGTGTAACAGCTGGGTCCTTGTTGTTAGTCACCTCTCTACCAGTTTGCGTGTCATCTGCAAATTTATCCGCACCTATTCACTTCCAGATCATTCATGAAAATGTTGAAGAGTGTCTTGCCCCAATACCAATCCCTGTTGAACCCCACCAAAAACAATCAGGGATGATTCCACATTGCTGACTGCTTCTTGGTCTCATGTCAGCCAGCCCATTTAATCTGTGTTCTTTTGATGTTGTAAAAAACAAAACCACCACCGAGGAGTCCTGCAGCACCTTAAAGACAAACAGATTTATTTGGGCCTGGGCTTTTGTGGGCTGGAGCCCACTTTGGCAGACACATGTGATAAAGTGACGTGGGTTCCAACCCACAAAAGCTGATGCCCAAATAAATCTGTTCATCTTTAAGGTGCCACAAGACTCCTCATTGTTTTGCTGAAACAAATCACACAGCTACCCCCTGAAAGCTGATGGTGTATTTTCAATCAGAATGTCATGTCAGTCAAAGACAACTGCCTTGCGACACCCCCACGTATATTACAGCAAACTTGTCACCTCATTAAAGAATTAAATCAGGCTTGCTCTGACAAAACATCTTTGCCATAAAACAAGGCTGTCTGGCTTTAGTCACATCTTTGCAATCTTTGTTGATAGAATCCCTTCTCTGTTTTTCCCTTCTGTTACCCAGGACTGATGTGAAGCAAAACCAGCCTAGAATTTGCCTGTTCATGCCTGCTTCCTGGGCACAGTATTAGCATTCTTCCTGTCTTCTGGAATTTCATTCCAACGTGTATTAAAAATTGGCGAACTCCTCGGCCAACTTCGTGAGGCGTGCGGGGGACACATTCTGCAGACGTTTAACATCCTCCTGGGCACTACCGGGCCTTCATCGTCCTTGTGATAAGAGTTCATCATCCTGCGTTGAGAGACTATTGAACACTGCTGCCTTTTCGACAGCAGCATTGACAGTTTTACCATCTCCATCTCGTAACGGAATCTTGTTCTTAGCTCCGCCAGCCACAAGTTTTAACTTGACGTTCCCTTCTCACCATCCCTCCTGGGAACAGACAGTCACGGTGGATCCTGTCCCACCCCACCCTGGTCTCTGAAGTCTCAGTCCCAAGCCACGGAGAAGCTGGAGCTGCTCCAGAACCAGCAGGGCTGGGGTGATTCCAAGCCAGCTGCGGGAAATGGTGCTTGCCCTGGCTGCAATGGGGATGCAGCAGGAGATCACTCGGCCCTGGCAATCAGGTAGGAGATGAGGCCCATGAGCAGTGGCACCAGGATGAGCAGAGCCACCCAGACTCCAATGCTGAGAAGGGAGAAACGGAAGGACTTCCGGGCCCAGAGATCCGCGTCAGGAGAGTTCTTCTTCCGCTTCTCATTGGCCTGGGGAGACAAGGGAGAGTCACCAGAATCCCAGCCCCGTCACCCTCCCTCACTACTATAGCCAATCCCTGGTAGCCCCCAGCACCGAGACATGCCCCCGCTATATCCCAGCCCCTCCCCAGCCCTCAGCACCAAGGCCCATCTCTGTCCCCATCTCTCTCCCCAGCTATATCCCAGCCCCCAGCCATAGCCTTGAGCCCCCTGCTACGTCCCAGCCCCCCAGAAGTCCCCAGCACTGAGACACTGGTGAACATCCAACTCCTGGGCACCTCCAGCACCAAGTCATGGCCCCACCCCATGATATCCCAGCCCCTCTCACCTTGACAGCATAGATTAGGGCCAGCACCCCGAGGCAGGAGCAGCCGCAGACAATGCTGCCTATAGCCAGGTTGCGGAGGGCCCGGGGACGTGGTCTCCAGGTGGGCGGCTCAGGCTGCGAGGGCCCCACCTGAATCATCACGGCAGTCTCTGTCCCGTCCCCTGCGGGTTTCCCAGCACTGCCGTTCCCCACGCTGAGCGCCATCTCCTCTCCCATGGGCACCGAGGGCTGCTGGGTGGGACTGCGGGGCACCTGCAGGACAGAGACACAGCTAGTTACATACCACAGCCCTGCCCTAGCTCCTGTAGCCCCAGGCATGGCCTTGCTCACTGCCCTTCCCTCCGGGGTGCTGGAGTCCCCGACTGGCTTGGGGACGGGGTGTTGAGCCCTCCTCCCTGCTTACGGCTGGGACCCCACAGACGGGTCCCTGTCCCTTTCATTGGCTGTCTGCGCATGGGATCACCTGCGCCCTTCCTGGATTCCCTCGCCTTGAGTCACAGCCTGCCGGGGAATGCCCAGCTGCCCAGGAGAGGGAGGGTGGCACCCACGCCAGTGCAACACATTCCTGACTTGCCAGTGGCAGCAGCTGCCTCAGCCAGCAACACCCCCCCCCCAGGGCTCCATGATGGCAAAGCCCCCCCAGCTGAGCCAGCCAGTCCCCCGTCTCTGGTTTCGAGTCGCTCCCTTCTCCAGGGAAAATTCTCCATCAGCTCGTTTCAAAGATGCTGAAAGGGGGCTCTGAGCGCAGAGCAAACACCAGCCTCTGGGCTTGGCTTCCCAATCCCGTGGCTGCTGTCTCCTCAGTGCCTCTCAAACCCCCCAGCCCCTGCTGCTGCTTACAGCCACCCTCAGGCCAAACCTAACAGCCCTGGCTGGAAAATCAGCAGTCACCCCCTGGGGGCGGGGGCAGAGTGTGTGTGTGCAGCTCTAGCCCAGAGCAGGGTGCTAAAGGGAACAACTGCCCCATAGCATCAGGGCCGTTGTGACTCTGGTCTGCCCTAGGGAAGGCTGGGGAGAGGGAGGATGAGTTGGATGAGTCCTGATGGGGAGTTTCCATCTGTGCTGGAGAAAAAAAATCCTTGGGAAGGGGGCTGTGCAGGTGGGGAAGGGGGCTGGGAAGGGGTGCCCCTCATAGGAGAATTGTCTCACCTGGCCGCAGGGTCCTGGCCTTGGATCTCAGCTGAGCCCGTCTCCCTCTCCCTGTTTGTCTGCACTCCTGTAAGTTCCCAGCCCAGGTCTGGCAGTGCCTCTTTAGAGCTGGGGCCAGTCTCTCAGCATGAGCTCATTGACTGTGACTCAAAGCTGCCTCCTCAAACACACCCACCCACCTGATCCCACGGCAGGTACCTGGGTGGATATTCAGGCTGGGCAGGTGGCTTGAGTGTTGACATCATCCTGCCTCTGGGCGAGTGAGAGAAAGGGTGCAGGAGGAGCCATCTGATCAGCTGTGGCTGCTCCTTTCCATTAGCTCTCCCCCTGCCCTGCCAGGGCCTCCTCACCCCACACGTGGGCAGCAGGACAGGTGAAAGCGTCTGTGTCCCCCTCTGCCTCTCAGCCTGAGTTTGTCCAAGGAACAGCCCCAAAGCTGAGCAAATGTGCTGCAAACCACCACTTCCTCCTCAGGAGGGCTGAATCAGGAAGCATTTGGGGCTCAGAGCTGGGGCTGACCCACCCCCTAGGACTGCCAGAGTGAGTGGGGAACTGGTCGTCACTCATTCCTATGGTATGTCCCAGGCTTGGTGTAATACTTCACCCTGCCCTTGCATGGCACAGCTGGGGTGTGTGTCCCTTCCCCTGCCCTTGTATGGCACCTCCAAGTGTCGGTTCCTGGTCCTGCCATATAAGGGCATAGGGAAGTATCATTCTACCTAGCTGTGCCATATAAGGGCAATGCCTTCCGCTTGCCTCTCTCTGCCCGAGACACCCACATGGTATTGGTTTTGGTAGGATTAGTGCCAGTAAATGAGGCAGGGACCGTTTGCCAAGCAGGCTCTATGCTCCGGGTGCGCTGACACTTATATAGCCTTCCTAGAGGGAGTTTTAAACATGTACTTACTGCTGGTTAAAGTCTGGAGGGACCCAATTAACATGAAATGTGCACCTGTAAAAAGCCATTGAGACAAATCAGGTTTAAAAGCTTCTGCACAGCTATGCCGGTATTTTTTATGGCACGTACCACACACACCCCTGGGATGCCAAGTGCATCACCAACAGGGGTGAATGCAACCCCACAGTTTAGAGCGGCAGGTACACGTGACAGGCCTCATTGTTGGACAAAGCTCTCCTTCGTTTGTGGTGCTCCATAACCAACCCCGCTCGTTGCTTTACAACACCCCTACTTGATTTTTACAGTAACTTCGTTGACCCCTCCCTTTTAGTTTTATTTTCAAATGGCCCTTTTTTCTGAAGAGCGGGTTGTAATGAGCTGAACAAAGATGCTCAAACTTCTGGAAGCGCTTCTGAGTATTTTATCTAGTTCCCCATTGGGTTTTCTCCCTCTGCCACTTTGTCCACCTGCTCCAGCCACTGAGCTAAACAGCTCTGTGTTAAACAGAGGCAGTGCAGAGTGCATTGTTCTCTAGCAGCCCTGTGCTCTTGGGGAGCCAGGGAGTGACATTCATGGAAAACCATCCTCCCCCCCTTCCCCTGGAATCAGACAAAGCAATGAAAAGGCCAGGGCAGACACACCTAAACTAATTAAAATACAGGACAATGTAGCACTTTAAAGACTAACAAGATGGTTTATTAGATGATGAGCTTTCGTGGGCCAGACCCACTTTCTCAGATCAAATAGTGGAAGAAAATAGTCACAACCATACATACCAAAGGATACAATTAAAAAAATGAACACATATGAAAAGGACAAATCACATTTCAGAACAGAAGGGGGATGCAGGGGAGGGGGGGGAGGAAGGAAGGTAAGTGTCTGTGAGCTAATGGTATTAGAGGTGATAATTGGGGAAGCTATCTTGGTAATGGGTAAGGCAGTTGGGGTCTTTGTTCAATCCCCCCCCAGAGAGAGTGTCGAATTTTAGCATGAATGACAGTTCAGAGGATTCCCTTTCAAGTGCAGATGTAAAAGGTCTTTGTAGCAGAATGCAGGTGGTTAAGTCGGTGAGACAGTGTCCTTCCTGATTGAAATGGCACATTTTTTTAATTGTATCCTTTGGCATATATAGTTGCGACAATTTTCTTCCACTATTTGATCTGAGGAAGTGGTCACTGATGGAGGAACTGCAACTTAAGCCAGAAGAACAATTGGCCAAAGAATGCCAAGGGCCTACAAACAACTTGCTGAGATAAGCTGCCGACTGGTGCACATAAGCCAAGGTATGTCCTAAGATAGTTGTACCATCGCAGCCCAACTTGTTTTACACAAGCTGGCCAGATAAAATGTGCTGCACAAAGAGACTAGAAAGTTTTAGTCCCAGCAGCAAAACCTCTAAAGCTGATGTTTCATTTCCTGATGGTGAGAGATGATTCATTTTGGTTGCACATTTCAAATCTTCACTATCTGTTTGGTCCACACCAGACTTCCAAAAAAGGGAACTCAGCCTGTTTCCTTCAGCTTTTTGAAAGCTGAAGACATCTGGAAGGAAAAGACTGACATCCTGAGCTGATCCCTTAGGAGGAGTCCTGGTAATACGAAGTACTTGTCCCAGACAGGCACCTTTAACTGTCTCCATTTTCCAGCAAATTGTTTGCTAATGCACTAGGAAAAGACAATAGTTGTGTCTCTTACTCTATCAGTGTTTGCAATGTCAACTCTTAGGCTATGTCTAGATTGCACTGTTAAATCGGAAAAAGATACGCAACTGGTGGTACGCAAATTGTGTATCTTTTTTGATTTACTTTCGAAAGAGGCTCTTTCGAAATTTGGCGCCAAATTGCAAAAGTGCTCTTTCGAGCCATCCCTTATTCCTCTTAGAACGAGCTTTACAGGGATGGTGAAAGTGTATCTGTTCTTTCAAAAACAAATTTCAAAAAAGTGGACATGTTCCTTGGACACGGCATTGCTTTTTTGGGATACCAGAGGTATCCCGAAAAAGCAATGCAGTCTAGACGTAGCATTACTGTGAACAACAACACTGAAAGCTGACAAGTGAGCTAAGATCTGGAAATAACAAAGACTAATGGGTGATGACCCAAGTCGCTCAACTGACCACTTCCTGAAACTAGGTTCCCAACTAGCAAGGAAATGTACATGTCTGTCTATGAGCTTTAAAGACAGTCACAGAGTTACAGTATACATCCTTATGTGGTGGCAAATTCCAATCAAAATTGTTATTCAGTAGGTTTGAAATTAAAACAAATTACTGTTAACATAGAAGACCACTGCATGTGAATGTACCATAGTTATTCCACACCGACCACTGCATGTGAATGTACCATAGTTATCATTCCATACCGTTGTACCTGTTCAGGGCAAGTGCAGCTATATCTGCCCTCAGTCGTTTAATAAGGGGCACCAAACCCTCTGGCTTTCTTGAGTGGAAACTTTGGTCTGTCCCACTTCTGACTGGGGTATTTCCAGGATGGACAGTTCCCTACCATTGCTCCCAGCACAGTCAGGCTGCTCAGAGACTTGTTTGATCTCTCTCCAGAGATGACAGTGATTGCATGCAATATGAGTTACCAAACCACTTTCTAGGCAAGGCGACTTTATTCTTAAGGTACAATGCTGACTGAGAAACCATTAAAACCAACGAAAGAACCAACACATGTACTAAATAAGCTTACCAGAGTTCATCTCAACTCTCACATGGGCTCTAGCAAGAACCAGCTTTCAACCCTCACCCCCCCACCCTCACCCCTCCTCAGAGATTTCCTAGTGATCACAAGTTCAGCAGAGTTTCAGTCGCAATAAGCACAGCCTTAAGAGTCCTCCTCGGCAAATACTTCCAATCTTCCTCTAAGGATTGAGGCCCTCTGTGGAGCAAGTATCCAGTCAATTTACTGGATCAGAAAGAAAGCCCTGCTGTGGGTCTCTGGAGAATAGAGTTGGAGTTAAGGCTTCTCTTCATTCCATATTTTTTGTTTAGGAGACTGGTCCCCAACGCGGTGCTCGCGGGCGCCATGGCACCCACTGGGGAATTATTTATGTGCGCCCACCGAGTGACCAGGGCCGGCCCAAGCCATTCTTGCTCCCCAGACTCCGGGCACGCAGCCGCCGCCCCCAGGCGCACGGCAGCCCCAAAAGGTTGGGGACCACTGGTTTAGGACACTGTGTCTGGGTCACACCTGCTGGTCAAGTCTTAGGCCAAGTTTCTTGATCTGCACTGAGTCTACACGGCTGATTAGAATGTAGGAATTTATTTTAGCTATTTAGGAGCATTAGCTTGGAGCTAATCTCACTCCTTGTAAAACAGATAAAAAGGGCTGACTGCTATGGCTTCATGGGTGAATTAGCATGTAAGAAACTGGCCAAATTATCTTCTAAATTTTGGATTATTCTTCCTCTGGTGTGACAGCAGCACTGAAGTTGCTTTTACCAGTCTGTGTCAGTGAGGGCATGTCTTTACTCACCGTGCCAGAGATCAACATTCTGGTGTTCAGTTTAGTGGGTCTAGTATAGACCCATAAATCAAATGGAGGGCAGCTCTAGTCAGCATCTGTACTCCTTGCAGTAGCGAGAAGGGAAGTTGACAGGAGCATATGCCCCCGCTGGCCTCCCGCACTGGGGATGGCGCCAAGCTCAGCTTAAGGTTAGCTGGAGTTTCATACCTTAAGCCTGTGGTTCTCAACTGGTGGTCCATGGTGACTTTTTCGGTGGTCCACAGGAACATTGTCCAAAGTCACACGGTGAGAGCAGGCGCTGCTGTTAGGCTGTTTTACGCTGTGTTCACAAGCATGCGGCGCATCATCCATAGCCTCACCTAGGACGCAACCACATTGTGTTGCCAGTAACTTCCGTCTGAGGCTCTGAGCGTCAGTGTAGCTGCTGCTGTCGTACTGAGCGGTTGCTGTGTCGTTCATCCTGTGCTATGTGCACTGTTTTACAGGTGTGGTGTAGTTTGTTTATAATGGCAACAACAGGAAGAAATGTCAAGCGCAAGTATTTGGAAGACTACATCAAATTTGGCTTCACTTGTCAAGAAAAAGGTGGCGTGGATTTGCCACAATGTGTTATTTGTTTCAAAGTCTTGGGGAATGACTCAATGAAGCCAGCTAAGCTGAAATTCCATCTCAACAAGTGTCACCCCAACTTGTTGCAAAAGGATGAAAATTATTTTGAGCAGCGGTTATCAGGTCTGAAATGGCAGCGCCTCGACTCAAGTGCATTCTACAATAAGACAAGCAATGAAGTGCAGTACTTCCTACATTGTTGCATACAAAGTTGCACAGGCCAAGAAGCCTCATATCATTGTAGAGCAACTTGTGCTCCCCTGTGCAAAAGAGATGGTGTGGCTTGTTCTTGGCGAGGAAGCAGCAAGGAAGCTGAATTATATCTCTGTCTCTAACGACACAGCATCGAGATGGATAAATGAGATCACAGAACATCAGTGAACAAGTTGTGGATGAAATAAAGAAGTCTCCATTCTTTGCCATACAATTGGATGAATCGACCAACGTCGCATTGTGCTCTCAGCTATTGGTGTTCGCATGATACATGGTTGAGGGAGACTTCAAAGACGAGTTTCTTTTTTGTAAGACTCTTGATACCACCACAAAGGCTCAGGATGTGATGGAAATTGTTAACAATTTCTTTGAAGTACAGGGTCTGGATTGGGTAAATCTTGTGGGCGTCACCACTGATGGTGCACCTGCCACGCTGGGTTCAAGATCGGGCTTCCAAACGCTGGTGAAACAGCGTGCTCCAATGGTAACCGGAGTTCATTGCTTCATTCATAGGGAAGCTTTGGCGTCAAAAACATTGCCTGATCAACTGAACGCCGTTTTCAAAGGGTTGGTGAAAGTGGTGAATCACATCATCGGCTCTGAACACCAGGCCGTTCAAAAAAATTTTGCCTGGACATGGGTTCCAACTTTATGTTGCTATTCTACACTTCTGTACGGTGGTTGTCAGCAGGGAACGTACTCA